ACTACTTTACTACAAACACTGTGACTTTGGTTAAGTTATCTGACCTTTCCAGTGCTCAGTTTTTTCATCTGTAAATGGGGATGCTCATAATACAGACAACTACGGAGTGTTGTTGTCAAGATTAAATGTGACACTTCATGTTAAGAGGTTATCACAATATAAGGGCACAAAAAATATTGGATGTATTTGTTCTTGTTGCAGTCAGTCAGACAGCATGGCTTCTCCAGCTGAGCTTGGCTAACACTTGTGAATGATTGCCAAAATTTCTCATGCATATTGAAAGAAAGAAAGGGCCTATCCCTGCAACATGGGCTAAGTAAAACTAGTCCAGTCTATGAAAATTTATAAACAATGAAATTTATTTGCAAATCAAAATTACCAAATAAAATAAACATTAAGTTCAGCCGAAATGTGCCAGGTGTTCATAAATCACAGAATGGAAGTTAGAGATCTTGTAGTCCATCTGCCTCATTCTACAGACAAAACAAAAAGAAACAAACAAAAAAACACAAAGCATTCCCTGAGGGATTGTGGCTTTGGTCATCATATTCCACGTGTGTGGTACTTCCTCACTGAAAAAGCAACAGAAACCCTTTTATTAATACTTTGATATCTACAGAAAGCAATCTTTGTTCAAGCTCCTTTATTACTTGCTGTGGGTTGAATTGCGCCCCCCTCCCAGACATACGTTAGTGTTCTAACCCCCAGACCTGTGAATGTGACCTTATTTGGATATAGGGTCTTTGCAGGTGTAATCAAGTTAAGATGAGGTCATTAGTGTGGGCCCTAATTCAATGTGATTGATGTCCTTATAAGATGATGTAAAGACAGAGATACACCAGGAGAAGGCCATGTGACCACAGAGGCAGAGTCTGGAGCGATGCAGCTGTAAGCTGGGGTTGCTGAGGAGTGACGGCCACCACCAGAAGTTGGAAGAGTCAAGGAAGGATCCTACTCACACTCCCCAAAGGAGTCTGGCCCTGCTGATACCTTGATTTTGGATTTTCAGCCTCCAGAGCTGTAAAAATAAGTTTGTTGTTTGAAGCTATGGCAGCCCTTGGAAACTGATAAAATATTCTCTTTCCTTTCTCTGTTTTTCACAGGTTTATTTTTCCTGTTCTGCCACATAGTAAGCTCCTTGAGGGCAGAGGATTGGATGTGGCTCATGTTCCCATCCCTTGAAGGGCTTAGCAGTGCTTAGTCAGGGCTCAGTGAACATTTGTTGAATTGAAGTAATTGTAGTCTCATTCTGTTATTATAAATTTCCCTTAATTTGCCCATCAGCTTTTGGCATTGTCATCGAGGAAATAGAAGAGGTGCCTCTTGGTTGCCAAGATATGTTTGGATAGAACAAAGAAATAAATACTTATGAAGAAACACAAGAGCTCATTTTAATATTATTTTAAGAACAGTAACTGATATTTACTGAGAGCTTGCTAAGTGTTGGCCTTACTCCTTGTGGCCAGCGGATATACTCTTGTTTAATCCTCATTATGGCCCAGTGGGTTAGATCCGATTGTTAGATGCAGCTTATTGATTAAAAAAACTGATGCTTAGAAGCTGTTATAAAGGAGAGTTGAGAGTTAGACTTGGCCAGTATGATCAGAAACTTAGTTCTTAACTGCTAAACTATTGTGGAATGTGGACACTGAGCTTTTCATTTTGTAGATCTGAAAAATTCTCGACTTTGGGTTTATGAATGATAATATGTGAGATTGCTCTCCTCATAAATCTGCGTGTGTGAGAGTGTTGAATATATATTTGTTCTGCAGTGTGTCTGTTACTGCTGTATATATCTGATCAATTCACTCAGACACATTTAGAGCTGAAGAGCCAGGTTTTCCTAAGCTGTCGTGCTGCTTTGAACACATTTTCTCCTTCTGCACAGCCACACATTTTATGTTTAAATAACTGGGTTTCCATCTCTACACTGCAGACCTTATTAGGGGCTCTTGGGAGCGGGAAGCCCCCTGCAACCAGAATGCTTTGCCCTGTTTGGCTGCTGCACGTTTGTGGGGTGAACTTTTGTTTGAAGGGAAGGTACTCTAGCAAAAGAAGAGTTAGATAGCCCTAATTTAGGTCATTTTAGTTTACAGGACTAACATAAATCTCTTCCTTTGTTTATATAAACCAAAGTCTTGGAAAGACCCACAGTAAAGTTATGAACGGGAGCAGCAGCAGCAACATTCAACTTCTCAGCCTCTGCACAGTTGGGTTTTTGAGGTACATGTTCTACCGTGATCTTTAGCTGGAAATTCATTCTCTCTGATTGTGTTTCCCAGACTGCCAAGTTACATCTTTTCTGGGGTTGCTTTTATGGGACTGGCTGCATCATGACTTAATGCTAAATTATTATTGGGAAAAATTCAGTGTCTTTCATTATATTTTCTTTTAGGAGAACCATATGGAAGCTTGACCAAAAAAAGAAAAAAAAAAAAATTTGGATAACACTGGTGAGATGATGCAATGTAACATTCCTCTTGTTGCCTCTGGTCCTAATAAAGAATTAGGCTCTGTCCTAAATCCGAAATAGTACTTTGCAGTCCATAGCTTCAAAATATTTCATAAATCATATTCTTGGGATAGGGAAGAAAGTCTGCTTATCTTAAAAAGTAAAAGATTCTAGTAAAAGATTCTTGTAAAAGATTCTTGTTATAGCTTCACCTTAAACCTGGATGAATGCTTTACTCTGGATTTTTTTAAATGATATTTTCACCCAAAGAATGCCACAAATAAAACTCATCTCAACATGGCTGTAGAGTAGGACAAGCTGGGGCTTGAAGAGTTCTCTTTGTATGATCTTGAAAGAGTTGTTTAATTTTTATGAGTCTTGGTTTCTCCTCTACATCATGGATATAATAGATCCTTTGTAACACTAAGGATCTTGTAAAATGTATGTGAACAAAATTTGCTTTCTGTTTATACCCTATCTCATGAAAACAGCTCTATGGGTTTTTACCAAATTTGAGGGGATGTCTGCATGGTTTTACTAAAATTTAGGTGAAATAGCACAAATGAAATTTACATGGGGAGGTGCTGAAGGGACACTTCAAATGGGCGGGCAGTCATTTATCAAAATAGCTGCAACAGAGGAAGAAAGTGAAGTCACACGCCCCTTGGTTATGCCATTGAGGTGTGTCAAAGATCTTCAGCCCAGGACAGACACTGAAAGGTAGCATTGATCTAGAATCAAGCTATTTCTCACAGCAGAATTTCTGTGAACCTTGAGTAGGAATCTCTGTAGCAGTTAGAATTTACTCACCAGTCAGCAGTACTTTTCACCAACACAGGATGGGCTTGTTAGAAACCTATCTAGAATATTTAGCATAGAGCTTGGCACATAAATTGGTCCTGGTGAACATTCTCAGTTCTACCCTTTCCCGTCCCTGCTACCCACCTCCCCCACACCAAGAGCACAGAGGGACATCATTACTATGTTTCCTTCTGTATGAATCATACTTATTCACAGTGACTCAGTCATTTCTATGGAAATAGGTCCAACAGCAACAGTCACCTAATAGTTCAGAGACACTAAGATATTTTAAGGGGGAAAGGAAGTCATTCTTTATGGAGCCAGTATCTTCCTCTTATAAATATCAGAATGTTGAACTTTATTTTGGTCTTCTTGGCTGCTCCGAAAGTCTGTAGTGTTGCAAAAGAACTTTGGTTAATAATAGAAAGAGTATATTTCTGGGTTTGAAATTATTTTTAGTTTGGACAGCCCAAAATTAAAATAACACTCTTCTTTTGGCAGCTAATTATAGGATTATAGATATTTTTTTACCTAAATATTTTTTATGCTGAAGAGCTAAAGTAGTTTTTTATCCTCTCAGGTTTAAGTTCCACTTCTGATATTGATGTAGTTCCATAATGTCAGTCTGCTTATGAAAGTTACACTTCATAAAACCAGGTGTGAAAGATTTTAAGTACAGTCTGTCTTAGATTTTTCACATAAAATAACTTGCTCTCTAAAGTTGGCATCTTGAGCTTACTATTAACAGATATTTTTTGTAAGGAATCACTGATGGGATAGCAGGTTTTCTTCTGCATTAAAGTGAAAAAATTGCTCATCCAAATATACAGCCAGTTTTTCAAATATCCACAAAGGTGTTACAGTGTTTATACCCTTGGAAATCCTGATGGGACAGTTTAAAAATACAAGCTCCTTTATTTGTGTATGCCTGATCTGCTGAATGTTTGTCTTTTCTACCCTTGGAAGGGATGTTACAACCACTCAGAAGGCCTGAAGCTCGAAATGTGCCATGGAGAACTTCTCTCTCCTGTTCTTGTCTTGGTCCGTAGAGGAGGTGATTTCTGCCAATGTCAGCACAATACGAGATGTTTCCACCCCAAAAGCCAACAGCACCGTCCTTGACAAATACTGTGGGACTCAAAGGGGAGGAGGAAGGAACTTGTGTGGCTCTATCTGTCCACCTACCACCTCTTAGGATGGGGAGGATTATTAATGCGGTAGATGGGATGCACATCCCCATCTGTTTGTAGAGCACCTGTTCTGTCCTTGCTGCACCTGACTGGGACCTCTGCAGAGAACAGAACTCACCATTCTGCCTCTCTCTCTGCAGCCTCAGGTCTAAGTCATACCATCTAATCAAGCTCTTATCAGAAACCTGTATTATAGATTAATGGGCACTTTCCTCTCACATCAGTGAAACTGATACTCTGTTCCCATTTAGTTACTGACGCTCATATCTCTTTATTATCAGTCATAATCATAAAGAAGAGGGCTGAGTGGTGGGATTTATTTTTATTTCTAATTTCAAAGAACACTAAAAATACTTCTAAAATTACCATTTTAATTGTTTTTTCTTGCTGTTAAAAAGCCAAAGCAAAAGCAATAACTATCAATCTCCCATTTGAAGACCAGAGTTTTTGGTCTTCTTTGAAGTTACCAAATGCTAGCCATCTATGTGACTGTAAAAACCATTTTGTTTGGATAATTATCAATCTGTCTCAATGCAAAAAGGAGAACAACTATACAATCCTTTTAAATGCTTCTTTTATTTCATTGGTTGTACATTGGGTGAGTGAACTGAATATTACAACCCAAACATAGAATTGATACAAATTAGACTCCTGTTTACACTGTAAGGTAATGAATGAGGAAATTCTTTAAGTGTTAAAGAAAGGTTTAGTAGAAATGTTACTAGTGGTATGGCTGAAAGAATATTTCAGTGAAGTGCTGTTATATCCTGAAAACCAAGAGTGAAATGTAGTTCCCATACAAGTGGAGAGTTAGTCTCTTAACTACAGTATTTGTTGAATTGATATCTTCATGTCTTGGATATTGGTGATTTTTGTTTTTGTAATTAAACAAAGCATTTAAGATTTATTTATCATAGTCAGACTTCTGAATATAAACAAACTTTTGGCAAATAATATTTATACAGAAAAATAGTTTTAGATCCTCTCAAATCCCAGAATTATTCTATAAAATTACATTATAAATAAATAAAAAGCAAAAATCTGTTGTACATATATTTGTACATCTATGCATTTGCCTTGCCTCCTCCTTATTGTAAATGGCATATTTATGACTCTTTGCATATTATAATCACAATTCTGGAAAATGGATATCATAGTAAAAAATACAGTCTTCTATATTTGTTTGGGGATACAGGTGATGTTTTTGATGCTCTATTATTAAAGGGCTGAAAATAGTTGTGTGCTAATAATTTTTAAAATCAAAATCATGAAACCAAAGAAAAAAAAGAAAGACAATGTTACAATTATTCTACAAAAATATTTGTGATTCCCATAATTTATGCTTTAGTAATGTATACTATGTTTTCAATGAGTTTAAATGAATTAATAAAGAAAAAAAAAGAGAAAAGAAATTAAGTTTGAATGTTTTAGGCAAGTTGTAGCATAACTACATCGTTATAGTTGAGAAAATTACAAATATCAATAATACATAAAGATGAAACTACCAAAGTAATACAAGTTAGATACAATACTTTTCCACAAATTAAAACAAATGCAACGATACAAGCAATATGTAAGATTACACTTAGAATGTGATTTTCTTTTGATAGGGTTATCAGATCTACGATATAAGATAAATAGGTAGTAATTAGACTTTGACCAACATGAATTAAAATGCAGATTTCTTTTTTCTCAAACAAATAATGATATGGTTGGTGCATCTAGTTTTCAGAACAGGTGATGATGCCAAAAATTTAAAATATTTTACATTCAATCTCAAAAGTCAAAATACTTCAATCACTAATATGTTCACAAAGAAAATGGATGTTTTAAACAATTACACATAATATTCATTTATAACAGCTGTTTTGTTTCTTAAACAATAATTTAAAAACTATGTAGGTACTGTATAGGCTATGTGCAACATATAAAATGTGAAATATGAAATATTTGGTACGATAGTGCTTAAAATAAACTTTAAAACAAACTTTCTAAACAAAATTTAATTGTATCGCTATTACCTTGAAGATCAACCAAGTATTTAAAAAAGTAAACAACATTAAAATATGTTTCATCCATATATAGTATATATATATGTATGTGTATATATAATATGTATGTACTTGTATTAAAGTTTTTTATACTTTTGAGACATAAAATATGCTTTAAGGTGAAAGAATTAAAAGAACTATTTTTTTTCCATGCTGTAGTCAGTTACAACCCTTTAATCCAACTTTTGAAATGCAAAACAGTAATGGATTTTTTAAAAAGTGAAACTATCTACTTTTTGTTTACATAGTAATTTAGATTAAAGTCACAATCAAATTTGCAGTGACTAAACTCAAACTTACTTAAATTAGAATATTATACAGATCTCCTCACCTACAGCTTCCTTGTTCGACTAGGTTTTTAGTTTAGGAGAGTTATTCTGTCACAGGCAACCGGATGGTGAGTTTGAAAGACTAATCCCTTAGATTAGACTGTTGGCATGGGTCTCTCATTCTTGTCAAGCTGGATGAAGTCTGGCAAAATCTAGGCACTTCTACAAAGTCTCTCTTATAAAACAACTTTAAAAATATACTTGTAAAATAATACCTTCAAGACTTTGTTTGGTGGGGTATGAAGCTCATACCGTGCAAAGTTTCTTTTTCAATCTATTTAATGTTATTCTAGAATCACGTGAGTCAATGCGGCATCTCCAGGCAAACCAAACACCACACTTTGATGTGTCCCCAGTACTTGTGCTTGAATTTCCATTCAAATTTTAGACCTGCAGGACAGGTATCGGTTTTACTTCACTTCTTGTCTTTGCTGCAGCATTCATCTTGTCAAGAAGTGAAACATACCCTTTGATCCAGTGGGTAAATGAAATGACAATAATTGGAGTTAGAATCAAACCTGCCCTTGGAATAGGTTTTTAAACTAATGCTAATTGTTTATTGCTAAATTTGAAATATTGAGTCGAAATGAGTACATTGGTTGGACTTTCTGCATCAGCTATAGTTATGGAGATAAGACAATATTCCTAGGACAGAAACTATGTTTAGGAACCCTTTAAAAGTAAACTTTATCCTTTATGTCTTTAAACATCACAGCTGGTCTCAGGTAGTTAACTATCTTAGGTTGGAATATACTAAGCATACCATATTTAATACTCATATATGATATAGCAGCACTAGCTTCTTAGAGTTGTGGTCTGTCCAGAAGAACTAAATCTTTATTTAGCATGCAGTTTGTGGCAATTCTATTGAGGAGGAAACAGGATAGTATGTACAGTAACAATGTTTAGTTATTCTCAATGCAGATTCTTGGCATTCCATTCCGTTTCTGTTGATTATTTCAGAATTATCTGTCAAAGAGAAAGACAAGCATGATTTAGACACTCTTCTGTAGGGAAAATAATCGTTTTAAATTTTACTCTTTGAAAATAGAAATTTTCTTCAATTTATCATAATTTTGATGCAATTATAGTTTTGTAAATCCCCACCCTTCATGCTGAAAATTTTATACTAACCACTTCTATGTGGCTACATAAAGCATGATGATTCAAGTGCACAATATTTTCTGTAAAACTGTGACAGTGTATGTGTGGGCATGCAGTGTATTTTGACCCCAATTTCTTTTTTAAATTTTTTGCTTTATATTTCTTTATTATACAGTCACATTATTGTCCAATTAATATTTGCTATGGCGAACAGGAAGTCTAATTAGAAATTCTGTTTTTGAAAAGTTGTTTGTAAGGCTTAAATATTAATATTTTAAAATTTATAATAAGTCAGATATTATTTATCTATTAATTTGCATTTATCACTCAAAGATGTATTCTCGTCAAAAGTAATTTTGTTTCCAAGATAGAATAACAACCAGTTTCAAATTCAGGGTATGTTTAAATGTCACATATTAAAAAGAAAAAGGGATAACAATCTAATAAAGCAGTTAAAACATTCTTAACAAATCCAAATACAGATAAAGCACAGATAAAGCTAAACTATCAAATGCAAACTGTGATCCCTGGAGTTTGATCTCTAAGTTCATTTCCAACTCCATACCTGCGAAAGAGAGGGAGTTTGGCCTGTGTGGTCCAGTCCATTAAATGTCAAGCTTAAAAGCCAAGTTCTTAAACTTGCTTTGACCAAACTTTGTGTAATTAATAAGCAAAATGTTTATTTATTAAATAGATGAGAGTCTTTGTATAGGAAATAACTGGAAAAAATTCTTTATGGTGAGGGTCAGCTAATATTTCTGCACACTGGGATTCAATTTCCAATAAAAGCCTCATTTCCACAAGTACAATTTATTATCTCATTATGTTTGAATTTATAGTGCATATTTTTCCCCTTAAGTGAGTTTATATACAACAGTTTTAGTATGCTCAAGTAGTTTCTCCTATGAAATAAATATGAGTATCCTTTACCTTATTCTAACATACAGATATGTATAGAATTGATAAAAATAGAAGAACTTTTGACATTTATACTAAATGGAAACTCAAAACTCCAGATAATAAGGTTATTATTTGTTTTTTAGAAAATTCCCAGGAATTTAAAATTAATTAGAAAAAATAGCATTCCTTGCTTTCCATACCAGAAGATATGAATAAAATGATAAAAAGATATAATGATTTTATATGTAAATATTATTATGGTATCTAGTATTTGCATACTATATTACCATAGTTCTTTGAAGTTCATGGAAAGATTTGTATTATCTTTTAATTCTATTTTTCCATCAACATTTTGAAGTACCCTTGTCTCATTGCACATAGGTAATATTCAAATTCTCTAGATGGTCAGTTAATAACTTCATTTTTAGATTTAGATATTTGATTATTAAACAGCAATTTTTCTATTTTATCCTTTAGCTTCACTACTATCTGTAAGTTTTCCAAATAAGAATGTGCCTCAGGACATCAAATCATGGCTTATTTTTCTTTTTTCTGTTCTTTTACTTTAGCAAGAATCTCTCTAAAATACATATGGAAAAATCTTGCAGTTTTAAAAACTGATCTATAATGTTTTAGAATTTATTTACATTCTTGCTTATTAACTGAAATGAAAATGCCATATAGAATGAAATACCTAACCACCTGGAAAGAAAAGAATTCTACAGAAAGCACAGAAATGGGCAAATTAGAATGGTGTCAATTTGTATAATAGAAATTAGTTACAACAGTGCTTTGAACTTGTATTTGTCAAAGAGATATATATATATATATGATCATTGTAAATATGATCACTGTAAATCGTTCTCAAAGTTAACTAAAAGCAATTACCAGACTCACCCATACTGCCTTTGCCCTCTGCCCCCATCTATCCATGGGCCATTATACGGATAAAGACATAAATAAAAACGAGCTCCAATACTATTGAACTCTTTTTTTTTTGGTCCTTTTTAGTGACCGGTAAGGGGATGCAACCCTTGGCTTGGTGTCGCCTGCACCGTGCTCAGCCAGTGAGTGCACCGGCCATCCTTATATAGGATCCGAACCCGCGGCGGGAGCGCCACTGTGCTCCCAAGCGCTGCACTCTCCCGAGTGTGCCACGGGGCCGGCCCCAGTACTATTGAACTCTTAACTGTGACTGCTGCCTGGTATCTAGACCAGAAAACTCTAGCTATAACCTACTCTGTGTCTTTGGCTGTCTTGTAGACTGTACTCCTATGTGTGGTATAAAAAACAAATTACACTCCTAGCAGCTGTGAACTTCAAGAGGTTCAAGAGATTTGATATTAGAAGGTAAGAGAGATTTGGGCATTTTTCCTTGTAAGTTCCATGTTTTGGTGGCAGCATTTTTCTTGAAAATATCATTTGATTATTCAAATTTTTTTCCCTGAAGAATATTGCTTGCTAGTAGAGTTTGAATTAAATGTACTCTGGGGTGAAATACACCCTGGAAATATAGCCAGAACAAGAATCCAGATGAAGAACAGTTACCAGCTCAGTGCCTCTTATTTAACTATTGCCCTCTGCTGCTTCTGATGGTGGGAGGCATATGACATTCCAGGCCTAGGGCCCCATGGAGGGTAGAATGGATCCAGCTGGAAGATCACCCACAGGACACTGCTAGAGGGAAGAGGAGACCTCTGTGTGTGCGTGTGTGCGTGCGTGTGTGCGTGCGTGTGTGCGTGCGTGTGTGCGTGCGTGTGTGCGTGCGTGTGTGCATGTGTGCGTTGCTTGCAGGAGGGAGGGGGAGCTACTTTGAGGGAAAGGGGGATTTTCTGTCTTGCTTTTAATATGGTGTTTCTTTAGGCAGATTATATTTCTAATTAGCACTAAAGAAACATAATTTAAAGCAAGATGAATAGGTACATTTTGTGTGTTTTCCTGTTGCCCCTCTTCAAGACATTTTCTTCCCTACCAATTATATATATAAAAACTTCTTCAATCTTCATTGTAATTCTTGTGGCCAGGAGGATTGAAAGCTTCAGAAGATGCCTTAATATTTCAATATAGGTATGAAACATAATCCTTAAAATAACAGGCTTTTATATATGGCTCTGGCACACGTGCTATCACCCTGGTATGGACAAACCCTAACCCTGAGCTTGTCCATTTCAATAAAACGGTCAATTAAAACACAGTTCACCAAAGTGAGCTCAAGAGACCAACTCTCAGTGGCTTCTTGCATGTCCTGCTCTTGGTCAAAGCTGAGGCTGATACCCAAAGTTCCCTAATCCACCTCCAAGGCATTGTAACCCGTGCTTTCTTGGAAGGGGCAATTGGAAACTCATGGGCACTGCCAGAGTATGTCTAAGGCAGAAAAACAGCTACCACACTGGGTCTCCTAAAAGTCCCCTCTGTGAAGCATCGTTGTTTTTGTTTGAATTTTAATATGTACTCCCTTAGTTTTCAAGAGGCTCTGAGAATTTTCACCAGAGCCTTAGGAGTTGGGTCAGTACTGTGGTCTTATTTTGCAGACATGGAAAATACAATGCGAATTTGCAAAGCGTGTGCACAGCCAGCCCGAGCTTAGCGATGCTCAGTCTGCTGGCTGACATGGGGATCCCCTCCAGGGCGGGTGACAGTCTGAGACAGGACCGGGGAAAGCAGTGGTTCCAAGGAGCATGTCTGTTTCTCTTCTGTTGGCAGCTGAGGAGAAAGCTCAGAGGAACCCCTCTGAGCTAGGGAATCAGGGATAGGTGAGGATGTGGGGCAGGGCCTAGAATGGTAAGTGGAGCCTGGAGCTCTGGGTGGGAGACAGTGGCCGCTGTCTGGAGGAGCGGGATGGGTAGAGATTGCTGCGGACCTTATGAGGCTGCTGGGCCTTTCCTCAGGGTGCTCTCATCTGGGTGGCCAACCGCTTTCTGCCCTTGGCCTCCTGCAGATGGATGCTACAAATGCGTCTGCTTATAACAACAGAACATCCCACCCAGGAACAGTGCCCCTCCTCCAGCTTCTGAGCAACCTTGGCAAACTAGGATGATAGCAGAGAAATCAAATACATGGAACAAGACATATTTCTACTTATCTCCCTGATAGACTATTTCCTCAAGTAAGTAGTATTTTATATAACAGAGAACCACAACAGAAGAAGGTGGTTAAATTATTAAATAAGATTCTAGCCAATCTATGACGGTAAATCAAAATTCTAAACTGAAAGCATTATTTTCAATTCCTTTATCTTCTAAAAGAACACACAAAAATCAGAATAGCTGATGCCCACAAAATCTGCCCTTCTATTTTCAAAACAAAGACATACTTGATATCAAATCATGAATGCTTTCAAAAACCTTTAGTGGCACTGCCAGTTGTAACAAGAGTATCTGTGATGCAAAAATGTCAGTCTGGCTGCAATAGAGTTTACTTATCAATGAGGAAAGGAAGTCATACTAAGTGAATTAAACTATCTCCCTTAGATGGTTGGATTTAAGAATCTGATGATTCTGCTCAATATTTATCCTGAAGTTACCCCCATATGACCCCAGTACATGATCAGTCTTGTTTTTATCTATTGAAGGTGAAGCATGAATGGCTCCAAAAACATCAGATGGGCTGTTTCCCAATCAAATATGTTACGAGCAGCCATGTAACCATTCTCGTATTCTAAGTGAAGTACCCACCATTGACTTGCAGTGGCAGTCAAGCTTATTAAAAAGTGGGCTGGGTTAGATTCTGTCTCAACACTAAGCCTACTGGGCCAGGCAGGGAATGCACTTAAGTGAGTGAACAGTGTGGAAGCAGCTCCTCAGCTCCAGCCGATAGCTACCTGCAGTAACCTAGGATTTATATTGCTTGACCTTTCCATTTTTCAAAAGAAGTTGAAAATTCAGCAATTAGTACATGTTACAGAAAACAATTCTGTGTGGGTCAAGTACATCTTTAGGCTGAATTCAGCTATGAGCTGCCAGTTT